TTGCCTGGCGTCAAAGGTAACACTAGCGGGCAAAATAGCCGCCAAAGTTTGGGGACTTTCAAAGCTTGAGTGTCCATTTAAACTTGAAAAATTTCTAAAAATGTTGGCCTTTCATCAAGGTTTCCTTTCTTATAAAATCATCACAAACATGTGTGTTTTTTTAATGGACATAAAAGTTCAGTGTTGAGTAAAAAAAAAAATGACACATATTGCCCAAGAGGCAGGAAAAAGTTGGGTGTCCTTGATATAAATATCATGACGAGCACTCGCTTTCACCACGATGTCACACATAATATATATACGGTAAAAATGCCCAAAAAAATAGTTGGATACACCAAGAGAAAGAAAACAGGTGAAAAAATCAAAGATGCTCAACATGCCCCGTGACGAGGAAAAGCTCTATCCAATCATGCACAAACGTCATCCGACTCCAACTTAGCTACTACCTCAACCGCTTCCAGCCAGATCAAGCATCGGGTCTCAATGCCAGAAACACGAAACGAAATTTTCTCTTTGACACTTAAGTGAGGAAAGCTGAAAAAATTAATTGGTCCTCACAAGAAGCCACAAATGGAAAAATAGGCCAAAAATTGACACTGGGGTCAAGTTCGGACATTTTCAAACTGATGAAATTTTCTTCAGGTTTAACATATCTTTTATCATTTCATACTGAGAAACTGCACACATTCAACCAATAAATTTGATGTATCTGGGTCTGTCTATCAGGGCCACAATCCGAGAACTGGACTTCATTTTAGCAGCCTGCCCTCGCATATATTTGAAGAGAGCAACCATCTTGACCAGCATTGTACTGTTACTCACCCGTACAGAAACATGAGTCAGCGTATTCACAGAAGTTTGTATAACAGAGACATACCCGTTCAGAGAGCGACTTGACGTGGAAACTAAGCTAGCAGTATGGAAGACAGAGACTGCGACAACAACAGCGTACCGCTTACTTCACTCAACGACCGCACCGGGCTCAATCAATAGAAATAATTTATTCCCTCCTCAGTTCAAATAAAGAATTAAAACTCACTATACATTTCAAGCAGTCAGGAAAATAATTTTACCAGGAGAAACTCATACGCCTCATTTATAAGATGAATTTACCTGGTTTCCATTTTGCATTAATTTTAAGTGGTTTTGGTTTTTTGTTGGGTTTTTTTTCAACAATTCTAGTCGTGCGGGGGGGGGGTTCAAGAGGGAGGCTCTTTTTCATTTTAGTTAGAGTTTTACAGAAGTTACAAACACAATCAGGTCATATTAGTGCCGAACATTAGAGGTGTTTAAGTTTTAGTAATAGTTTTACAGAATTTGCAACACAATTAGGCCTCATAAGTGCCAAACAATAGAGGTGTTACAAGAGTGCAACATAGAGACAAAAGGAGGCGAGATAAGGACGACAGATGTCTGATAGGAAAGAAAGAGCAAACCAAACCGTACCAGAATATCCGTCAACCACTCAGGATGTTTTAAAGAGTTGTTTTTTTGTTGATTTTATTGGGGGGGTGGTGAGGGTTTTTCTGTCCACTATTCAGTTTTGATTTTGCAGATGACCGAGCTAAAGAAGGGTGCTCCTGCTTAGCCATGGAAACGTTCATTAATCTTTTCAAGTGTTTCTGTCTGTCAAACAAATGTAAGAAAAAAAGCGGACACTGGCCTCGGATAAATAAATGTTGACGTTCTTTGGATAACCATCATATCCAACACGAGAAGGTATTAAGGACCGAGGAAAACTCAACACTATATATCAAAATGTCTTTCTTGTAACTTGTTTTTCGAGGAAAATATAACACTATGCATTAAAATGCCTTCCTTGTTTTCGAGGAAAACTCAACACTATGTCATAATGCCTTCCTCATTTTCGGGAGTCAGTTAGTTAGTTAGTTAGTATGGGGTTTTACGGCGCTCGCAACTGCATTAAGGTCATATGAGCGGGCGAAACACAAGTTAGTTTTTTAAAATTCGCAGTTCACTGCACGGCTGGATACGGGTCATTTGATGTTAAAACGTTAAAATATTTTAAATTTCGGGGGTCAGTGTCAGTCAGTCAGTGGGTCAGAGAGTCAAGAGCTATCGCTCGAGGTCACAACTGGTCGGCATTTCTTCACCTTGATGGGGCCGGCGCGGGGACAGAGGCAGATGGAGAGAAGCATGATGGGCAGCAGGACCACCATGACATACACGGCCCACAGCCACGGCCGCTCGTCCGCCGAACTCTTGATGGTGTGCCACCAGCCCTACACACCGCGCGCCACACGCACACAACACATACGCGTGGACGAGCAGACAAACACACACACGTGACGTGGACGAGCAGACAAACATGATGCACACGTGGACGAGCAAACAAACACACACACAAATACATCCAAATAGGAATAAACACACATAGACATTGAAATATACACAAGCAGAGACATGAGAACACATATGGACATAAATACACAGACAAAGGAACATACAGATAATGGAACAAATACACAAACATTGACATACACACACACACAAGCACAAACAGATATATGAACATACACACGTACAGACAGGACATATGAACATACACACGTACAGACAGGACATATGAACATACACACGTACAGACAGGACATATGAACATACATACGTACAGACAGGACATATGAACATACACACGTACAGACAGGACATATGAACATACACACAAGTACACAGAGGGAAAAAGCCGCCACAGAGAGAGAAAGAGCCCAGACACAGATAGGTGTACAACAAACATGCGCAATAAAAGACAAAAGTGGACACAAGGCAAAGAGAGTGTGTGTGTCCCCCGCAAAAGTGAGCATGCAGAAAGGTGGTGGTGGTAGATATGTTGTAAACCATACACACAAGGAAAAAAAAAACGAGAAAGAAAAAGAAGACAACAAAAATGTCCAAGAGTGCACAAATGGTGCGTGTGTGTGTGCGTGTGCATGTGTGTGTGTGTGTGTGTGTGTGTGTGTGTGTGTGTGTGTGTGTGTGTGTGTGTGTGTGTGTGTGTGTGTGTGGTGGGGGGGTTTGTAAAAGAACAGAGAGGAGGTACAGGTTTGAGTGTTTTATATTAATTGTTTAAACAATTGTCGGAAAGGCGATGGGGATGGGGAAAAACAGAAAAATATTTACACAACGCAACATACATTGGCACATACAGACACACAATGCAACAACATGGAGGGGCAAAGAAAGGGGGGGAAAAAAACGGAATGGGGGAAGAGGAGAGAGAGAGAAAAAAATCTAATTAGTACAACTACCATGGAACTCAATACAGTGCAGATACAAAAAGTGTGCAGCAAAACCAAAGAAACAAAAACCAAAAAACATAGAGCAGCCAAAACCTCTTCCCTTAGCTCAGTGCCACCAACAAGTAGCAATTTGTCTAATTCTCCCAGAAAAAAAACCCCCCATCTCTTTGTTTGAGTTTATGTCTCACTGACAGACGAGATTTCACGGCTAGAATGTGCCGCGTGTTTGCGAATATGAAAACCTTTCCTGCGCGAGACACAAGAGCTTGAAAGAGTTTTGACTGCACGAGTCCAGGGCGCCACTTTTTAACATGTCAGACGTTCCGAACGTATAATAACCTAAAAGTGATGCCATAAATGACACTGGCAAAGAAGGAAATTGTGTAGTGTACTCCATTAACAGAGGGGGAATCATCAACCATTCCACACAGAACACACATGCGGTGGCAGAGAGAGTAGGAGTATTGTGTGATTTTTTTTTTTTTTTTTTGGGGGGGGGGGGGGGGGGCTGTCCTTAAAAAAAGAGTTACAAAATCTTCAGGGGGGGAGGAGAAATTTAACATTTCTCAAATTCCGGAATCTGACATTTAAAAAAATGACGCCCCAAACAAGACGGTGGAAGATCAAGAGAGAAAAATACAAAGTTGTCATGCAAAAAAAAAAAATAAATAAATAAAACTGGTTGAGTTATAGTGCGTGTAAGGAAGAACTGGGGGGGAATGTGGCCAGGTCTGTGGAGGACACAAGAGCTGTCGCGGGCAGGCTCACCGACCGTCGCAGTCAGACAAACCCAAAGGCCAGTCCTCCTCCGGTTCCTTACACGCACGACACAACAGAGAGAAAATGTGAGGCCTGTTGACAAAATGAGTTACTTCTCGCAATCCCTAAATGGAGATATTGGGGCGGATATTGACGTAGAGGAGTCAGATTTGTAGATTTTCGACTGAGACATTTTCTAAAAGTTTTTTTAATTTGTAGAGGTTTTACGGCGCTCGCAACTGCATAAGGTCATATGAGCGCCAGCTCGAAAAGTTTAATAACAAGTCTTTTACATAAATTTGCCTAATCTTTTTCCATAGGGCTAAAATCCAAGAGGCAACTCATTTTGTCATCTAAAGTGAAACAGGAAAAAGAACAACAAAAGTTAGATATGAAAATTAAAAATCAACAGCCAGTCACGACACGGAGCGGAGAGAGAAGGTGGGGGGCGGGCAGGCTATAGACGACCACCAAACAGCTTCAGGCACGACTGCACGCAGAGGGGCGACGACGAGCCCAGAGAGAGGGGCGACGATGGGCGGGCCCAGGGAAGGTGGCCCTGACCTTTACCTTGGGGGAGGAGCCGCTGCAGCAGTAAGTTATGATAAGCACGATGGGCAGAACCACCAGCAGGATGAACACAGCCCACAGCCACGGCCGCTCGTTGGTCACGTCCTTGATGGCCTGCACTATGCTTTGCTGGGAGACGAGAGAGGGTCGGGTGTCACGTCACTTACCCTTTCTTCGCAAATCTACCGTCTAGCACACACATAGCCAGCAAAATTTGCGGGGCGCTGAAATCTTTTCGTAACTAAATGTACGAATTCCCCTACGTAAGTGTTATAAACACGAAGGGCATACATGTAGGCCTATAATAAAAAATTATGGACCTGAAAATCTATTTGCTATGTGCTTGTTTAGCTAGGTACTTGTTTCCTTATGTGCATGTTGGCTATGTGCGCGCTAGACCATAATTATCACTCTCTGTTGGGCAGCTACGTGAAAAAAGATATTCTCACCGAGATAGAAACAACAGCTTTAACAAGATTTCATGAGCAAGACAGGACATTCGAAACAAAAGGTTAAAGAAACAACAACAAAAAACAACCCAGCAACAGCTCAGGATTTTTTCTCCTTCTGATCGGTAACCTAAAACCGAAAACAAGTTTGATTATTTGACAGAAATATACAGCTTAGACACTTCACTGCTCCCTGCAGCTCCTCACGGCTGTGACAATAATTCACCAAACACACAAAAAAGGTAGAAACGTTCATGTGATAAAATATATCAAAATGTCTCAGCAGTGAATATCAATAAAAACATTCTCAGAGCTCTTAAGCTTTTTAAAATCAAGCTTACAAACAAGTGGCATTACAACTAAACTTCCTCTATCTTTTTAAGTCTTATGCTTTCCCACCATAGGAAGAAAGACAAAAACCATAACAACTGAACAATAACAGCAACATATTGACTGGTCTTTAAAGCTTTTTATCTCTTTTCAAGAGTCATGCACAGTACCCAGAACCCAAAAAGTATCCAGATAAGCCCAAAACCGTCTATGTACAGAAATCCAAGATTCACACTTTCGATTAAAAAGAAAAACCAGCATCCGCGATGTAGTGGCAAGGCGCTTTGCCGTCCCAGGCAGAAGACCTGAGTTCGATTTCCGAGTGGAATGATTTATTATCGGGTATCTCGATCTTTGTGCTGGGGCGCTGTAACTGTATCAGCCTTTGCTGGCCTCGACAGACAAAGTCAAACCCCCACCTCCTACATGATCTAAATTGTGTCAATGGGGGAGTAAAAATACCAACAAACACCCCCCCCCCCCCCCCCAAATATTAGGGAGAAAAGCAGCGAGTACCTTGTTCCTTCACTGTGACTGAGACCCTAAGAGGACAGTATCTTGGTGGGTTTTTTCACTCTTTATGAAACAAAATTGGCAGCCAGAAAATGTAATGTTATTAACTATTTTCTACTTTGATGAAAATGCTTGAAGAACCGCTTCATTTTCAGAATCATCAACATGCAAAAGATGCTTGGGTTTTTTTTTAAACTTTAGGTAAGATTTTTACAGCACTGCCAACACAAACAGGTCATATATATAAGTGCCGCCAAAAGGCAGGGCTAGACAGGGTGAGAGAGAGAAAGAGAGAGAGAGAGAAAGAGAGCAAGAGAGAGAGAAAGAGAGCAAGAGAGAGAGAAATAAAGAGAGAGAGAGAGAGAGAGAAATAGAGAGAGAGAGCGAGCGAGAGAGAGAGAAATAGAGAGAGAAATAGAGAGAGAAATAGAGAGAGAAATAGAGAGAGAAATAGAGAGAGAGAGAGACGTACCCCAGTGGAGGCGGCGGCTCGCTCCTGGTTACTCTTGAGCTCCCAGGTGACGGCGGTGAACTCCTCAATCACCGTCTCGTTGTCCGCGATGATGAAGTTGTCAAACATGATGTCGTTGCTCATCGACCACAGCTCCAGGCCCAGGGCTTCCTGCAACGTGACCACCGACACATGAACCATTAACAAAACATGACATGACCTTCACAACGTGTAGCTATGAACAGAATAAGAAATTTAATTTGTGTGCATATTCTTTAGTTTTAGTGCGCATTTCATGGCACTCGCAACACAATGAGGTCATAAAAGTGCCAAAGATTAAAAGTTTTACTAGAGAGTAAAATACAAAGAAAGGACGGCGAGAGAGAACGGCATCAGACGTTTGATAGGAAAGAAGAAGCAAACCACATCAGAGCACCCGCCAACCATTTAGAAAGTAGATTCGAAACCCTTTCTCTTTGAACACTACCTTCAAGCATCTAAGAGCAGGACATTGTAAATGACCTCGACAAACCAGTGAACACACATTCCATCTTTGAGAACAAAAAAAAACTTTGCAAAAGAACACAAGATCACCAGCAAAACACATTCCATCATTGAAAAAAAGGCATTAAAAAGAAAAACACCAATAACACAACCACGAGCAAACAAAACACACACACACAGCAACCCCCCACTCACAATAGGCGTCATCTTGAATGGCTCCTTGTCCTCGAAGTAGTGAGGGTTCTCGATGCGGCGCGGCTTCCACTCTCCCTTGTAGTCGGGGTTGTCGATCATGGGAGCCCTCCAAACGCCCTTGTACTTGGGGTTCGGGATGGTCGGAGGCTCCCACTTGCCACAGCCCGGCACATCCGCACAGATCGGGTTGTCTTTGTTAGGAAAAAAAATAAATAAATAAATAAAATAAATAAATAAAATAAATAAATAAAAAATAAAAAACACAAACTATAAAGAATAACCAAAAAAAAACAATGTCTCTTTAAAAAGTAACAGTTTGTATAAAAATTCTTATTAGAATATAAAACATGACAATAATCACAAACATAACGACACAGTCATAGAATAAGCGACAAAAGCTATGGGGGGGGGAACTAGTTAAATTATCAAATACTAACAAATTGATCTTATAACTTATAATTGTTATTCACATTCTCTTATTGTTCCAGCTTAGTGTTGAAATATCAGTGTACTTACATTTTTAAAGTCAACGACTGTCTGATTAGCATAGGATCACCAACAAGGCACCCCAAAAAAAGGACACAAGATTTATTTTTAAATCCTGATAATTGTCACTTGATACACTAAGGAGCAACTAAACTTTACTAAAGACAAAGTGTTAGTCTCCAGGTGTTTTATTTCGAAGCCCATCTCGTCTTACCGATGCGAGGTGCCTCCCACTCCCCGTCCATTTCGTCGTCCCTGTAAACAAAACAGAAGGATAACTAATTTCAGAAGGAGTACTACTGCATATGCAACACAATTAGGTCATTTTACTGTTACGGAGGTGTTACTGAGAGTAACATACAAAGAAAAAGAAGGAGGAGAGAAAAGGACGATAGATGTTTTCAGTTTTAGTTAGAGTTTTAGGGCACTTGCACTACAAGAAGGTCATATAAGCACAAAAGACTAGAGGGGTTACCGAGAGTAACATACAAAAAAAAAGAAGTAGGAGAGTTTTAGTTTTAGTAGAGGTTTTACGGCGCTCATATAAGGTCATATGAGCGCCAAGGGGTGGATGTCAACAGAGAAGTCCTTACAGGGAATTAGGCTTACTCTGCTCACCTCTCTAGCTTTAACAGCACAAAGTCTGCCTTGACTATCAAGGCACCCCGCAAATAAAGAGTGACAAGAGTGTGACAAAAGAAGTAAAGGGAAAATGACGATAGGATGAGGAAAGAAAAAGCAGCAGTTTCCTGATGCAGTTCAGGCACAGTTATGAGCATGACATTGATGAATCGCCCATTTACAATTCTACTGCGCATAAGAACATATTAATGTCCCTCCCCCCTTTGGGAATGGCCTAAATAAAGACATTTCAGTCATTAGCACTACCCCGGAGGGTTGAAGTAGGAGAGAAAAGAACGACAGATGCTTGACAGGAAAAAAAAAGGAGCAAGCCACACTAGAGCAGAGCAGCCGCCAACCACCCACGTACCAGTCCTCAGGCTTAGTGGCAGAGGGGTCCGGGATGTAGACCTCCTCATCTTCCAGCCAGCCTTCGGGCTTCTCTGCGTCTTCGTCGATCATGGTGGCAGGCTCCGTCTCATCCCTGGCAAACAGAACATCAACACAGCATGTTCAGCGAGATTTTTTTTTTTTTTTTAAATTCTAGTAAGAATTTTACGGCACTTGCAACAACATAAGGTCATATAAGCGCCGAAGAATAGAGGTGTTACAAGAGAGTAACAAACACAAAAAAAAGGAGGAAAGATAAGGATGATAAAATATAGAAAAGAAGGAGCAAACCACACCAGAGCACCCACCAACCACCCACGGTTTGTTTTAGTAAGAGTTTTACGGCACTTGCAACATTAAGTCATACATGTGGCCGAGATTCGAGGTGTTACAAGGCATCACAAGAAGGAGAGATATGGACGATAGATGTGCAATAACAATAGGAAAGAAGGAGCAAACCACAGCGCCCGGCAACCCACAAGGTAGGTCAACCCGATGCAAGAAACAAAACACAGCATTATGTTTGGCCAACTTCCTTTAATCTCCCTGATCTATTCATGACTAACACAACTCAAAAGACAGTGACATAAGTTAGTTTTAGTAAGGTTTTAGGGCACTCACAACCGCAGAAGACAGCGACATAAGAGTTCGCTTGCTGGAGTAACAAGAAACACATCAACAACAGTCATATAGTAAATGAAAAAGACATAGACATCAGAGTGAAAGAAACGAAGTTGGACCTGCCAATGTCGCTCTCCAACCACCCATGATGAGAAAGAGCACACTCAAACGATTCTTTCTAAACATTTATTTCAACCACAGCCAAATAGAAATGTGTTCTTTTAAACAGTCTGAACCACAATGTCTTACAACTAGGAGGATAGCACGCCTACAATCAACTGACAACACACAGCTTACCAGTCATCTGGTTTCTTTGCATCTGGATCGGCAATTCTGAAAATTACAAGAACAGAAAAAAGACAATATTTTAGAACCTTGAATATAAACACCAAAGACTAGAGGTGTTACCCAGAGTAACACTGCAACCACTTCCTAACACTCTAAGTTCAAGACATAAATTTTCCTTTTTCAAATTATTTCAATATTTCATTAACTCCCATCGGCCAGAATGACACACTCCCATGTTATTCTCGTTGACCCCTTTCTGTCAGAAACGACACAGAGAGTGTTGTTTTCACCTTCCACAACTAAATACATTGTCCGTTCAGTCCTCCAAATCCATGTTTATAATATCGGTCGAGTTGAAAATAGACACCATACTACTTCCTCTATTTGTGAAAATTTGAAGCTTGAAGGAGTAGTTTTTGAGCGGCAGCATGTATCACCAACAATCTTGTATCTAGATCCCTAAGCCACTTTCCTAGTCAAGATTGTTGATCAAATCTCTCTACAATACACTTTCTTGTGCATCTACTCTCACTACCCATTTCCCCGATGTCGCAGATGATTCATTTTTTTTGCACGATAAACGAGATAGATCTAGATCCCAAATTGTCGGTGATACAAAAAACCCCAGTATTTTCAGTTTTCTAAACCCTCAACAAACAAGAGGGGTTTTTTTCCTCTTCCACCCACAAGATTTGAGCACATCCTGATGTTGTGGCACAGGCCAAACCATGAGTCTGGTGGTTCAACAGCAACAAACCAGCCTGTCAAAAACTCCTTGTCCCTATCACTTGTGAATCTTCTTTTGACATTGACTTTGTTTTAGTAAGGTTTTACAGTGCTCGCAACTGCATAAGGTCATATGAGCGCCAAGGGTGGAAGTCAACAGAGAAGTCCAAATGGGGAATCAGGCTTACTCTGCTCACCTCTCTAGCCTCAACAGCAGAAAATCTGCTTCCACTATCAACGGGCCCCAGAAATAGCAGTTCACAAGAGAGAGACAAACATGCAAAAGAAGTAGAGGGAAAATGACAATACTGAGGATGAGGAAAGAAAAAGCAGCAGTTCCTATGTTGTTTCAGCACAGAATGAGCATGACATTGATAAATAAGTCCATTTACAATTCTACTGAGCGTAAGAACATGTTAACACACCCCCCCCACCCCCCCCTCCCCTGGGAATGGCCTATAGGGGGGGTTGACTCGTTTCTCATGACCACTTACTTCTCTCTGTCGTCCCAGTCTGCCGGTTTCTTGTCATTGGGATCCTCAATTTCCTTGGGCGGGTTCACTGGAGGACTAGGAAACAAAAAATAATTTATCACCAGCTGATCACACTGATCTTTTACTTTCAAAAGTCAACATCACACTCGGTTTTGTGAATACTAATGACATTCGGAATTTAATATTTTATATGTGTATCGTCATGGTGATATCAAAGAAACCAACAATTTTCCACTTCTGGATTGACAATAACAAAACAACAACAACAACGACTGTGCTTCCTCTGGATCAATAATAACAACAACAACGCCTTTTCTGGGTAAAAAATAATAACAAAAAAAACAACTGTGTTTCTGGATCATTAACAACAACAACGGTGCTTCTTCTGGATCAATAATTACAACAACAACAATTGTGCTTCTTCTGGATCGTTAACAATAACAACAACAACTGTGCTTCTTCTGGATCGATAATGACAACAACAACAACAACTGTACTTCTTCACCTCATGTTGCTGAGCAGGTCTCCGCTGGCCACAACACCGTTGTCAACCTTGAGCTCGTACGAGTTGTCCGGTCTCACCGCTGGGGAGGGAGAGGAGAGAGGAGAGATGTCAAAAGTTGAGCATCAATTCCCCACTGAAGAGAAGCACATCAATAGTGATAACAATAAACAGCAGTAAAATTTCTTAAGCGCATATCCCCGCTTGACAGCAAGCTCTAGGCGCTTTACACAACAGTACTACCCTAGCAGACCTTAGAACTCTCAGAAACATTCTCATCTTCCCGGGAAGCATACAGAGCAAGCAGCCGATTAAGCGCTCAAACACATCCACATGAAAACAGTCACAACACAATAAGTCATAAAGTGTTCAAACAGAGAAAGTCAAAGAGAAAACAGGTAAAGAAGTAGGCCCTATGGAAAAGTTACAACCTCCAACCACTTGCAAAAAGAAAAAGAAAAGCCGCAAACAAAACAAAAAACCCAAAAAAACGAGAGAGGCTTTAAAAAGAGCAAAAGATGAGGACACATCATGAGCAAACTTGACTACACTGCGAAGACAAGATGGGAAAAGAGAGGGGCAAGAACAGAATCGAAACACAGAAAAGGAAATTTGATAACTTCACACTCATGCACGTCTGCACGCACAACCACATGCATGTGCAGACACACACATAGCCTACACACACATACACACATTCAAAAATTCCCAAACACAAACAAATTCAAATACACTGACACACACACACACACACACATGCATGCACAAACACACACACAGAGACACACATGCGCACACACACACAAACACAAAAAGGTCAAAAAGACAACACAACTTACTCAGAGTGTACAAGTGAGTCTTCCTGTCCGTGAAGAAAGTGTCGATCTTGGCACTGGGCTTCTCCGCGTGTTTCTCCTGGAATGTGCAGGATCAAGACATTAAAACGTGAAACCATCAGGGAACGTCTCAATGACATTCAAACACTCTTCAGCCTTTTCCCTTCATCTCATCAGGCATCCTTTTCCCTTCATCTCATCAGGCATCCTTTTCCCTTCATCTCATCAGGCATCCTTTTCCCTTCATCTCATCAGGCATGAAAGTGCTTCGAGCACTACTGAGTAATTACGTAGCAAGCCTTCAATGCTAAGACTACAACTTGTCACCCCACAACTATTTTATCCTAAGTGCCCTCTTTACTTAGTTTTAGCTTTAGTAGAGTTTTTACGGCGCTCACAACTGCATTAGGTCATATGAGCGACAGAGCACAATAACCTTTCAACACAAAACAAATCAATTTTATTATTAGACTCTCATTTGTGACACAGAAAACATGTTACACAATAACAATAATAAACATGTTGTGTCTATAAATCTTATCAATTACCTTTAATCATTGCATAGATGAGTGAAAATGCCCATGTACCCCAAAAAATTAAATGAGCAAGAGCTATGAACTCACCTCAAACTCTCCAGTAACAGGATTTTTATGTCGGAAGATGAAGTGCAGCTGAAAAAAACCCACAAACAAACAAGACATTTCATTATATAAATACCAGTGTAAAAACTGAAATGAGATATACATCATTTAGACAATGAGAAATACATCATTTAGACAATGAGAAATACATCATTTAGACAATGAGAAATACATAATTTAGACAATAAGAAATACATCTTTTAGACAATGACGAAAACAAACAAGTAACAACACACACACACACACTGCGATTCTAGACCATGAGTGGACACACTTTTTGGATCAGTGGCCCTCACTTCCACTGGGCAGTAAACAGAAAAGAGCAACACTTTGTACTGCTGAACATCCAACACTAAGTAATTTCTTTTATACTTCTATGGTATTTGGTATTCTATGGTATATGGGACACTCTTAGGCATTTTCTAATGCCAAAAAAAAAAAATAGAGTGCATTACAATAATAAAATCATTAAGATTGCACTATTTCAGAAAACAAAATTTCCTCAAGAAAACTAGTCTTGGCTCTAGTGCTTCGGCAAGTGTGATCACTTTTTTTTTAATAGGCAAATTTCCATGTTAAATGTCTCTGCAGTCCCAACAAAACTCTACTACGGGCCACATTTCATCTAGACTGTCCCGATAAAATGGCTTAAAACGCAATCAGTTCTTCACACCGCCAACAGATACTCCTGAAAACATCACGATGCTGGACACTGTTAAAGGTATTTGATCTGATACAACCTACAACCTACTTTTCTACAAGTAAATGGCACACACATACAGTTCAGCTCTGGAAATGAAAACTCCTAAAGTTTTTATAGGTAGGCTAAGATACAAACCTTATAATCATTGCCACACTTGTCTGGCCCAAACATGATGGTGTACGGAGTCTTGTCCGTGAAGGTTTTCTGCAGACAAGATCACACAAAACACAACAGTGTAGAACAACGTTACTCAAAAAGTATAGTCTGCAAAGTAAAATTGATATCACTTAATTCTCCACTCCAGGATTTATCTATCAGTGATGCTAATGACAAAAAGTCACAAGATGACGATGATTGCTTCGCAGAATTAAGAATTCGCACTAGTTGGAGTACTTTTTCGGGAAACATCAGCGCCCCGACTTTCGTGAAACTCGGGAGGACGCCAGATCCTGGAGAAAGTTCCTCGGAAGGCTTAAAAACCCGAAATTCCTCTGGTTCGAGGAAGACTAGAATCACTGATCTATGGATTTATAGACAATACAAACTAAAGTTCTGCCAACCCCCCACCCCCCAGTAAGTTAGGTTTTCATTTCTTTATGAATGACAAAAGCAAAGGTAGCATCACTAACAAACTGATAAGATCTTTCACTGTCTATAGCTGGGTACCCATTCCAACCTGGGTGAAGTGAGGAAAACTTGTGTAAAGTGCCTTTCCCAAGGACACAACACGCGGGTCCGTGACGGGAGTCAAACCCACGACCTTATGGTTGCGAGTCTGAGAGCTTAACAACTGAGCCACTGACGTCACTCTACTTGTCCAGCTACTGAGCCCCCTAGCCTAACATGTTTGAATTGTTTCACGTCTTCATTGACAATAAACAGAGCTTACCAACTTCAGCTCGTCCCCCTGAGGCTTCGACAACAGTTTGATGTAGGCACCACCACAATCGATGCCGTTCTGGAAACGAACTTCATACCTGAGAGGAAATTCAAAAGAGAAAAAACATTGTCACAGAAATTGTGTCAAGCACAAATGTTTACAACTAAGCACTTTCCACATAACTCTTGCCCGTGGTATGCTCAAGATAATCATAACAAAGTCAATTACCCCCCCCCCCCCACAAACCCTACCAACTTACCAAGTTTCATATTTTTTACCTTTCTTTATTCTTTCCATTTTTTGTATTAATAAAAAAAATTACCAATTTTCTAATCCACAAAATGCAGAGATCAGTACAAATCTGTACAGCACTTGACAACAAAAATTATAAAATATGAATGAGAGAACAAATTTTCAAAATACCCCCCCCCCCTCCAAAAAAAAACCAACAAACAAACGGAAACCAGTGGTTGCATCCAGAAGATCTACTGAATTAAGTTTCAATATGGTAGAAATTGAAATAGAAGCATTTTTTACAATGGGAAGTGCTATAAGAGAAAAGAGAGCTATTATATTAGACAGCAAGAGGATTACACATATTGGCTTCTAAGACACACAAACACACACCCTGCTCAAAACTAGTTCACAAACACTAGGACGATCTATCAGCCACCACCCCCCCCCCTCCTTCCCCAAGGACAAATTAACCAATAAATCGAGGAGTGCACAATTCATTCAGACATTTAAAAAACAAGCAAGACTCACTGTACAATCAAGGGCTTGTCTGTGAAATGAAACGTCTCAGTCAGATTTACTGATATAGCATGGTGCTTCGCTTTCGACTGAGGAGCAAACAAGACAATAAAACACTTGCTCAAAAATAAATTCGCAGCAAACGCAGCACACGTACAACACAATACAATTTGCAAAACCATCTGGTATATCTCAAGAAAGAACTAACAAAGAAATACAACAACAACAAAAATTGTTGATCAGTCTATTTGGGTAACAGAATAAAGGAAAACAGCGAGTTAAGATTTTTGCCAGTACAGACTGGCCGGTGTCAACCATTCTTTTACACCACAGAGGGCACATATGCTTAATAAATAAATGGTCACACTTCGCAAGGAAAAACGCTAAGCAATAGAAGTAAATCACCCAAGTTCAAGAAAGAACAAAGACCATACAGCAGTTCCTTCAAATTAAAATCACGAAACAATAAATTACTCAATAAAATATTTCCTCATGCGGGAACCGCAATCACATCTTTGGCTTTCATCAGTGAAGAGCCAAACAAAATAGAAGCTAGTCTTAAGCCTTTATAACTATCTTGACCGTGAATGACTGAATATTAAAAGCTGATAAATATACCCAGTACCACTGTGAGAGGTTTTTACCTTGAGAATGAGACCCAGATCTTGTAGGATTGGATTGTCCTCAGGCTCTTCCACTGACCATCTTCCTGAGGACACAAGAACAGAACATGGAACAGTTTTAATAAGAGTTTTACGGCACTTGCAACACTAATACATCAGGTGTAAGTGCTGAAGATTGGGAGTGTTACTAGAGAGTAACATACACATAGAAAAGAAGGGGGTGGGGGAGGGAAGGGAGAAGATAAGAGGAGGACAGATGTCCGATAGGAAAGAACGACCAAACCACACCAGAGCGCCCATCAAACATCAACTTTTTTTTTTTTAAATAGTAGAGGATTTTACGGCGCTCGCAACTGCATACGGTCATATGAGCGCCAAGGGGTGGGTGTCAACAGAGAAATCTTCACAGGGAATCAGACTTAGACTGCTCACCTCTCTAGCTTCAACAGCACTGGGTCTGCTTCGATGATCAAGGCACCCCCCCAAAATAGCAGGTCACAAGAGAGTGACAAACATACAAAAGAAGTAGAGGAAAATGACAATAGTAAGGATCAGGAAAGAAAAAGCAGCAGTTCCCTGTTGCAGATCAGGCACAGTTATGAGCGTGACAAGAGTCAGCCCATTTACAATTCTACTATGCATGAACGAGAAATGTCCTCCCTTTGGGAATGGCCTAAAGACACTACAGTCAGTGGCACTGCCCCGGGGGGTCATCAACTCTCACAGTGTTGACACAGATATAAAACCAAAACTGCCAAATGTCATTATGAAGACAACGTTGCAGATTGGAAGACAGTCTTAAGCAATTACAGTGACAAATACTTTTTTTTCTTCTTTTTTTTTTATAGTAGAGGGTTTTACGGCGCTCACAACTGCATAAGGTCATATGAGCGCCAACAGATACTCTTTAACAAAACACAGAGTACAAGTAAAATACAAAAAAAGTAAGGGGGGGAAAAAATAGAGGTATCCGTCTTCCTAGTCTCCTCTCGCTGTGCATTAAACAAAATTTAGAGCAGGCAAGACTGCATCGGGTACACTATTAATTTCTAAGCCAATACATACCAAATGCTAACCCCACCCACCCACTCATAAGATGTATATTTAGGAAGATTTTTTACAGCTCATTAACTCTTCTGGGACGCATCGCTGATATATCAGTCACCTCCAGCCAACACATTTGGGGGTGTCGCCGACATATTTGCAATTTGAACATGGTCCAAAGCCAGTTTTCAGGGCGGGGTTCATTCTGTTGCTTTTGAAACATAAGTGAAAATTAACACTCAGCTGCCTTTCCAATGATGATGTAATATGGTCGCTTTTAAGCACAAGGGGGCTATCCCGATAAATACTGTTTTCAGAAAATCAGAGTTAAAGTTTTGGGATCCTTATTCAGTCTCTTAAAAAGACAAGGAGAGTTTTCTCTACTATAACCAAACAAATATACACACCAATGAAACTAAACTTCTTCTATAAGTAGGCCAATGCCCACTTTTGGAGTAGGTCAAGATTTCTGAAAACCACCAGAATCTGGGTCAGCCCACTTGTCCTTAAAAGCGACCATATATCTACCACTACAATGTTTAATACACCATCTGTCGTAAACGCTGTTTAATTTCCATAACCCTGAAACGATTCACGGGGTCACAAATTAATTACGTCTTATCGATTTCAACTGCCACAAAAAAATTAATTACGCTCTGAATGAATTTAACATACCATCGTATTTGGCCACATCTTCTTCTACACCCTCTTTCTTCGCTTGAGAAATGACCCATCTGAAACAAAAACCGAAACAATAAGTGGTCATGGTTTTTATTTTGGTAAGAGTTTTACGGCACTTGCAACACAATTAGGTAAAATCAGCAGTGCTGAAAATTAGAAGTGTTACAAGAGAGTAACAAACACAAAAAAGAAGGAGAAATAAGGACGATAGTAGTTTGATGATAGGAAAGAAGACACAAACCACACCAGAGTACCCCCCACCAAACACCAACGTGGTCATGGTGACAATAACATTTGTCTCTTACTCTCAAGCACATCAACTCAGTTAAAGGGAAAAAAGATGTGTGCTTCAGTTTGATAACTAAAACACATGCTAAAATCTCCTCAAACACATTCAAGTTAGCAGCACCAACAGAAATTTTTTTTTCTATTTTTATGTTTTTATTTCTATGAATTTAAAGTCCAAAATATTTCGAGCAACAACAAAAATCTGTAATCAACAGTAATCTAATCATGAAAATAGAAACAAGTGAAAAAGTGAACATGTTTTCAACTCATTAAAAATGCAACGAAAAGAATTAATTAATCCACCCCCCACTCAAAAAAGAAGCAATGAAAAGTAATCAGAAAGCAATACCTCTGCAAAAACTCAGCTCTGGTATCAAACGGCTCGCAGAAAAACGTTTTCCCAACCGGTTCAGGCCTTTGGTATAACATCTGCAAGGGTAAAAGTGAAATGTTCAGACCAAATGGCAACCAGAGTCTCTGTCGAAAAAACTCATTCTCACTGCTGACAGAATCACACTCACTCACATCAGGAAGCCCCAGGTCTGAAACAAACATCAACGATCATGGACTACGCTTTTATTAATTAGAGTTTTACGGCACTTGCAACACAATAAGGTCATATAAATGCCGAAGATTAGAGGTGTAACAAGATAGTAAGAAACCCAAAAAAAGGGGAGGGGAGATAAAAAGATGATAGATGTTTGACAGGAAATGTTTGTTTTAGTGGAGGTTTTACTGCGCTCTTAACTGCATAGGTCATATGAGCGCCATTGATAGGAAAGAAGAAGCAAACCACACCAGAGACATATCAACCATTCTGAACGTCTTAACTTCCTTGTAAGTATACAGTACAGTATAACAAGATTTGGCGGTAACCTTCTTTTGACTCTAAACTGAATATACCTGACATGAAAAATTTCGTACCTTCTCCCTCACTGCCGCAGGTTCCTCTGCTTCCTCTTCTACAATTCCATCATCAGCGTCATCGTCCTCCTCGATTTCTTCTTCTTCTTCGTCTCCCACACCTTGAGCATAAGCCAAACTGCCTAGCAGCAGCAAGCACAACAAGAGATGAAGACGCATTCTCAACCTGAAAGAAAAACAATAACGAATATGTTACATGTGAATATATATATATTATATAATATAAATATACAGTTGAAATTGTCTTCGACTGCCATCCATTGTTGAGGAGAAAGTGGTAGTCTTACGTTGTCATCAATTGTCACCAATTCTGAAAGAACTACACTGGCTGCCAATAAAAGAAAGGATTAAATACAAAACTGCCGTTCTCTGTTTTAAATGTATAAATGATACTGCACCTTTTTATCTTAAAACATTCCTGGAATTATATAATCCACCTAGAGCCCTTAGATCAGCCTCTGACAATCTAATTCTTAAAACTCCAAAACAAAATTACAAAACATACGGCGAGCGTTCCTTTTTGTTCTTTGGTCCCCAGGTATGGAACGAACTCCCATATAAAATAACTCCACTCTCAACTATTTTCCTTTCCAACAAATCAACCATGATGCATATATCATTCGAAGCATCTTTTCTTTGCATAAGGAGGTCCTGTCATATATAAGTATGTGTATCAAACTGTGAGAGATGAAGAAATAGCGAGTGAGAGAGAGAGAGAGAGAGAGAGAGAGAGAGAGAGAGAGAGAGAGAGAGAGAGAGAGAGAACGGAAATGTTTTTCTATCTGTATAGAATTAATGTTTTAATGAATGTTTCTAGTTACTCACGTTTCAACTTTATTTTGACTGTTCGTGAATTCTTATTGCATTGTATATTTTTAGTGAACACATTTTCAACCTCACTGCGAGACTGTTTTTCTGGTATAAAATTGTACACATATGCATTTATATTATATGTATAATACTTTGTTTTATGTACACATTTGTGTCGATTAATTTTTAAGATGTGATGTCTTTTTCATTGTAATGCGCATTGAGCATCTTTTAGGAAATGGAAATGCGCAGTATAAATGCTATTTATTATTATTATTATTATTATATCTTTAAAAAACCCACCAAAAATGCAAGGAGAAAAAGAGAAGTAGAAATTTGTACAGAGGTAAAAGTCTCGTCTCGTACAGGTGGCCATTTGAGCTGTTTCAGCTGTAGTACAATGCTTGAATGTCAGATTTCAGTGGAATTAGCTAAATGTGAAAGAAAAAAAAAGACATTGAGAACTGGCTCATGGAAGACACCAACATCGCAAATCCTGGAAAAAGACTACATAATATTATATATTTAAAAAAACAGTAATATTTTGGTTTTTCATTTCCACTTGTGATGTTTAGCTGTGGCGCCATGTCAAGATCTGAATCTGAGGACAGGGAAAAAGAGAGGGAGGCCATTCTTCCCCCACGTCCTGGTCATTATTCCCATTTCCAGTGAGCAAAGAGGACCATTACAGCCTGACCTGCTTTAACAGCTGTTGGATTAGATTTTATTATAGTAGAGGGTTTTACGGCCCTCGCAACTGAAAGTGGTCATATGAGCGCCAAGGGGTGGGTGTCAATAGAGAAGTCTTTACAGGAAATCAGACTTACTCTGCTCACCTCTAGCTTCAACAGCACAAGGTCTGCTTCAACTATCAAGGCACCCCGGAAATAGCAGGTCACAAGAGTGACAAACATACAAAAGAAGTAGAGGAAAATGACAATAGTAAGAAAAAGCAGCAGTTCCCTGTTGTAGATCAGGCACAGTTATGAGCGTGACATGAGTCAGCCCATTTACAATTCTACTATGCTTGAACGAGAAATGTCCCCCCTTTGGGAATGGCCTAAAGACACTACAGTCAGTGGCACTGCCCCGTGGGGTATGGCCTAAAGACACTACAGTCAGTGGCACTGCCCCGGGGGGAAGTTGCTGGATTGATAAACAACAGACAACAACAACCTGCTTTATAATGGCCACATATCCAGGCCAATCACCAGGACAAAAAAACAAAACAAAACAAAAAAACTTCCCACTTCTTTCCTTGTGTTTTTTGTTGTTTTTCTTTTTTCAATTATAAGGACATTGTCCATGAAAACCACCTCTCTAAGCCAATCACCTTTTTTTCTCTCGACAATGGGTGACAGCCTTGAACAATTCGGACTGTATAAGCAAGATAATGACAGTAAAATGGCTGATATGTAAAAATCATCTTGATTCAGAACATAGCAATATGGATTACATTCCACGCAAGGGGGGAATGCAGGTGACGCAAACGTAAACATGTCATGTTTTAGATGCATGCCACAGGAGGGAACTCTTCAGTGGCTGAAAGATGAAAGGACTAAAATCGTCTTATCAAGTCACTTTTTATTTTGCGAACGGGACAGAAAAAATCAGTCAGATCCCAACAACTCATGACTATGCATGACTTATGCACCAGGTGTACTGCCGATGCTAAAATAGAAAATTACATACATATATCAGAAAAGAAATCACTGGGTTCATAGCAAAAGTCATCAACATGAAGTACTCATCCATAAGAAAAACTCTGGGACCATTACAATTACAAACGCTGCATCCTAAAATACCTTTCCACCTATATCGACCCTGTGGGAGAGCCGTCACAATCTATTCACCTGTCAACATTGTTGGTCCTTCCTATGAATGAACAGCTCGCTCACCAGCACCATGTAACTGGTCCCTCCCACTGTTCACCAAAGCCCAAATTGACCAGTCGCAAACAAATTTTCAGCTGTTGATGAGCGACACACGTGAACTGCCATTGTCCATTAGACAACACACAAATTTTTTGAGCGAAATTATAAGAAATTAGTGGACCGTATGTTCACCCAGTCATTCACAAAGGAAAGGATGTCAGCCTGAGCTCGCGACAGAAGCGTCACCCATCCGCGGAGTGGTGACAACCCGTTTTATCAAAAGACTTCGGTCCACCACGTCTGACAGATTTCGCCTTGTCTCTCCTTTGAGCATTAAATTATTATCTCCTTCAACTGATACCCTTCACAGAATTTAATGCTCATAGAAGCTGCCTTCCTTTATGCTCTCCCTTCCAAAGGAAAACAAATTATTTTAAAGGAACCTTACTGCAGTCTTAAACTTGCGACCGCTTCTGGTTGGGACCTCAGAAGGAAATACTTTGTATTCTTCATTTGCTTTCATCCTTTCCAAGATGTCTTACTGTCTAAGACAACAACTTTTCTCCTCAACAATGGACTTTTTCTACTATTTTTTTTAAGCTAATGATAAGCTAAGTAATTGAAAAAACAAATAGGATAAAAGTATGAAGTGGCAGTATGTCCTGCAAGAGACAGCTTGCATTGTGTATTATAAACAGCAAATTTTCCCTTTCAACTTTAAAAAAAATGTTAGTACCCGCTGTTCAGTTGGCCATGCTCAAAACTGTCTTTGGCTAAAAGTTTTCAAAAGCTAAAGGCAAATATCCTAAATGTAGTGTATGTTGTATATAGTTGTAAATCCGATTTATAATTATGTTTGTGGGCATATTTTTAAATTCTAAAATGCCGTAGAAATGAGCCCTTCAATTTGTTTTCCTATTCCACTTTGAGAAGGACAAGACAAGTAAGTATAATCAGATTGGGTTGGTGGTACTTTTTTCATTCTACCGTAACAAAGTAGGCAGCTAGGTTTACAAAACAACACGTAGTGAAGTAGAAGTCGTGAAAATGCTCATCATCCTCAAATAAAAATGGTAATGACAGAATTAGGAAGGACTTCCATAACAAGCGACCACCCCCACAAACACAATAAAAAGAAGAGACCTAACCCTTACCCTACCTCTTCTCTACCCCCACCCCTGTAACCTACTCTGTCTCATAGTGGTCGCTCGTTACGTAAGTCCTCCCCAGAATTAGGCCTAATTTTTAGTTTAATAAATCATTTATAAAATATACATACTTAGACAACAGTCGAACCAACATGCTTGACTTGAATAGACCTACACCTGGTGGCTACTTGCGTTTTCTTATAAATCCCTGAATTGTAGTCTGCTGGGTCAAGATCCAGATCTGTCTCCTAGAGATAGTCCGGTACTGCGATATATCCCAAGCGATATTTTGGGGATATCTCTGGAAGTTACAGGTGAATCTTCATGATTTTTTCACCAGAAGAGTTAGAAAGACTTCCTCTATACGATGTAGCCACCATACAAAACCCAGCAATTTAAAATTCCTATATGTTGTGGTGGTATTTGTTTGGTAACGTGTGCGTGTGTCTGGTTGAAGCGCAAGCTGTCTGTTTGGGTGCAACATATCGGCTGGCTGAGTGCGCAATAGTACCATGTTTACAGTTTGGTGGATTAACAATGACGAAATATGGACCAAATAAGACTAGTTTTCACATTGGCGAATACATTTTGTAATAATACAGGAAAAATGTCATAGAACAATATAATTAATTTTAATAATGCTAAATTAAAACCACACACATACACGTCGGTCATATTATGCACAGTGACATACACACATACTCACACAAATACAGCTGGCTTGCTGTTCATATGGGGGAAAAAAAAAAAAAAAAAAGGATCCACTGTCTCAGTTTCAACTAACTCCACCAACACAGCTTTCACAATGAAAGTCTTCACTCATCTTGGCAATGGCCTCGGATGGCAAGCCGGAGCAGGTAAAGTGAAACCAGGCACCACACAGGTCACACTGGATCCATTTTGTGTCACCCTCCTCCTTGTTGCACTGCTTGCATCTGTTCTCATCAATAGCAAGCTCCACATCATCATCACTTTCCAAAACCATACCTTCTTCTTCTTCTTCTTCTTCACTGCTACTTTCTCTTCCTCTCTTTCTCTTACTATTTTGCAGTCTCCCCAACTGCTTCCTCTCCTTTGCTTCCTTTTTCTCCTGTTTCTTTTTCTCAACTCTAGATTTTTCCTGACGCTCTTTCTTCTCTTGCTCTTTCCTTGCTTTTGCTTCCTCTCGATCTTTCTTCCTGCTCTTTTTCATCCCTTTCTCCGCCCTGGCCTTGTGTTCCTTTCTTTGCAAGTTCCTGTTCTGACCTGAACTGAAGGCCATGGTCAATGAGGTGGTCTTTTTGGAAGCTGTGCCCCCCTTGTTCTTTGGGAGTCGGGGTAGGGCAAACTGGTCATCCAAGCTTTCGCCGCTGGAGGGAACAGATGAGGCTAGGATGCCCTGGCCTTGAGCCTCGAGTACACCTGCTGCCTCCAGTACCCTCTGAAATTCTTTAAATTCTTTGTCCTCTGACGTCTTTCTTTCCTTCAGCATCTCCAGGTAGCTTTCACATCTGGTGATGCCTACCATGGAGGACAGGCGCAGAAGGGAACTGACGGCATCGAGCCTGGTTGTAGCCACCTGAGGGAGGGCAGTAGCTGCAGAGGAGGCTTGGGATGTGGACTGTGCTAGTGGTAGAGGAGTGGCTTGGGTTGGAAAGGTGGCTGCTGGTGGTTGGAGAGTAGGTGTTGGAGATGGAGTCGCTGGTGTTAGTGATGGATGAGCAGCAGGAGGTGTCGGTGATGCTGTTGGTGGTGGTGGCGGAGTCGCTGCTGGTGGTGGCGGAGTCGCTGCTGGTAGTGGCGGAGTCGCTGCTGGTGGTGGCGGAGTCGCTGCTGGCGGTGGTGGAGAGGTCCGTGGCAGTGGCGGAGAGTCTGTCTGCAGTCTTGAAGTGGATACTGATGACAATGAAGGGGTTGTTGACGGTGGTGGCAAGGCTCTTGGTGGTGTTTGAATCTGTTGAGGGATATCAGGAGTTGCTGAGGTACCTTCAGGGCTGGAGAAGAAACTCCTTGTCAGAGGGCTCTCTGGGTTGAAAGGAAAGATGCCTGAACGTCTGAAACCTCTCAGGCTGGCTTCTGGCCTGGCACAATACTCCCATACCTTTTTCAGCAGATGTGAGAAACTGGCCGCTGATGGCGTCTCCCCAGTCTCATCGAGGTGCTGCTTCACAACCACCGACCATCTTGCCTTCATTGACCCAAACACAGACAGACCTAAAGGTTGAATGATGTGAGAGGCATCAGGAAGAAGGCCATATAGTATAATGCCATGTTCCTCACACATCTCCAGAGTGCCAATGTCACTGCTGTGGCTTGAGTGCCCATCCACAAAGAGAACGACTGGCTTTGGCTTGTCGGCGACAAATGGAATGAATATATCTTTCAAGAATGTGCGGAAGATAGTGATGTTCACAAATCCATTGCTTGAAAGCTGCATGTACGCGTCTTTGAAGCCAGCAAGAAGGTTAACCGTGGGCTTCCTCTTCCTTGGAAAGACCAGTAGTGGATGCACATATTCCCCAGCTGCTGATGCACACACCAACACTGTAGTTTGTGTAGTTTGTGTAGTTTGTGTCTTGGTGCTACTGCAAATGTTGTGCACGGGCTTCGTGCCGACGGGGGCCAGGACTCGCTTGGAGACATGGGCAAAAGCGAAACCAGTCTTATCAGCATTAAAGATCCTGTTGGGGCTTTTAAGTAAGGCTGGGTCTCGAGAGTCCAGATATTCTTTCAAGGCAAAAAACCAGTCCCTGACATCCTGCTCCCCTATGAAGGCCTGCTCTTTGCAAAGAGTTTGAGGGGACCTGAGATCAAGTCCTGGGTGACGTTTTTTGAAGCTGGTCACCCAATCCCTACCAGGACGGCCATCTTCTCGCCTCACCGATGCTCCTCGCAGATCCAATATTTCCTTTACTTTCTGCCGAATGTCATCGTGGGTGCGCCTCATTGACCGCTCAGCATGGACTTGGATCCACTGGACCAATCTCTCTTCCTCCTCCTCCGTCAGCAGTTTTTTCACTTGTGGGTTGACAGCCCTTCTCCCCCGCACCTTGTCACCCAAAGTGGAGAGGGGAATTTTGAACGCTTTGGAAGCACCATATAGCGTCATATTCTTTGACCGGACTAGCTGCACTGCTTCCTCCAGTATTCCTTGTGTGTAGTTTTTATTTGGTTGGGCCATATTCAGAGGTTTACGGGAGATTTCCATCTACCATGTATGTGTTTTAATAAAGGATAAGAAAGGAAGGTGCTGTGGACACAAGAAAGGGAAAGAAGAAAACAAGAATTAGAATTGACCCAAACTAATATTCTTAAAGGAAAAGGACAAAAAAGAAGAAGAAAAAGACATGAAAGGAAGAAATTGAACATTTTTTGGCGATGAAATGACAACCATATCCTATTTCAATATTAATTAATTTTGACATGAATACATTCTGATTATCATCAAATGGCAATATAACGCATCCAAACAGGAAAAAAGGTCTGCATCAGTGCGCAACGCAGGTCATAAAGAAATATAAATAAGTAAAACAACTAACTGGCTACGAGAAGCCATACTACCAATACCAAATGTCAAAAGCCGATATAACGCACTTAAACGGACAGAACAAATTTGGTCTGCATCAGTCAGTGCTTCCACCAGCTGAAGCTGAAAAGTAAGGAAAATTCTGCCGGGGGTCTGGGGGCCGCATTTAGTGAAATTTAGTGCTTTTAGAGGGTTGAAAATAGCATTTGGGAGCCTGTTTGAAGAGATAGCCTACAAACCATAACATTTATTTTTTCACCAACATTTTGTCTTGTTTGATTTCTTCACCAAGATCTACACATAATATATTTCCATTGAAGGCAATGTTTAAAAGCAGGTTCCCCTTCCATTGCTAATAATCCAATTAATTTGTCATCGCACCATTGATAGAAGACAAACCTGGGAATAATGAATAGATATGTACCTTCACAATACAGTTACCCGGCGTACTCCCTAATTTTCCTTAAATTTCACGTCCAAATGTCACATGTCACAACCTCGGAACACCACTTCGAATTATTTTTGATTTCAGTAGTTTTAGCATAAATTTCTTTCATCACGGCCCTCATCATGTTTGGGTGCCATCGAATATTTGTATTGATCATTTCTCGAGATCTAGACAAATTTGTAAAAAAAGTTCCTTACTAACAGTAATTTTCTGCCTAAGATCACAAGTCAATTTACTTGATCAATGCGCAGATTTTCCAGCCGCGGCAACAATCCGAAGATAGACATACGGAATGAGTGAATGATAGAAAGGAGGAAATTGGCACAAAAAGGTCACCAGATTTTGATCAATCCACAGGTAAACATGTACTGCCGACCAACCCGCAATGAATGCATGGGGCATAGTGGAATAATGGCCGATTGCAGGAAATGCGCAATCTGGCAGGTTTCTATAACATTAACTTATAGCCGAGAGAATAACCGTAAATATCCGTAACTTAACTTATATCTATCTAGTACTAGACGAAACGAAGGCGAATATGGATCTTTTGCTACGGAATTTCGGTAGTCCTACGCTGTCGCAGCTTTTTACGGAGGGAGTTGATAATGATGGAGGAACAAGTACGGAAATGGCTGAAAGTACGGATTTCCGTAAAAATACGGAAGAGTGGAAGCACTGATCAGTGCGCAACCCTATCTGGCATATTTCTCGGCATTCAGAAGAAGCCTGCGATAGTTTTTAATCGATTCTAGATCTAGTATACAATCTATGATACATTTGAGCTAGATTAACTCGATATGCTAAATAATCGACTTCTCAAGCGCTTATTAAATTCACCGACACCGATAACGAAAACAATCAATATGAAGGGGCAAAACTTACCGAGACCGTAGAATCACATGTGTTGAACAGGAACCTCCAAAACGAAAGTGAAATAAGCTGCTTTCTGAACATGCTCACAGAAAAGGATGCCGTTTGGGAGTGTATACAGACCCAGTAACCGGGAACCAGGGTTGGTGATTTTTTTGATTTTTTTGATAAAAATCAAAAAAATCAATTTTTTAAATTTTAATCAGATTTTTTAAAATTTAAATCGGGTAATTATGCATAGATAAACTTGCATTTTATTTTTATTACAGTGTGTGTGTGAGCATGCGCTTGTGTTTGTCTAAAAAGAAAAAGAAAATGCTAATTTCAATTATGAAAAAAAAGTAAATTGAATACTGTATTATTTTACTACTTACAGTGACAGGGGGGGGGGAAACAGACTTTTAAGCAATTTTAGTCTACTAAATCTTATATCTGTTTTATAAAACCAAGGAAAGGAATTCTGAATGTTTAAAGATGTAAAAACAGAAAACATTTTTTTAAGTGATTTAAATCACTGAGTTTTATTTTTAAAATCAAGTTGATTTAAATTTTTTAAAATCAACTGATTTAAATCGACCCGATTTAAATCAACCCAACCCTGGTTTTCAATTATGAAAAAAAAGTAAATTGAGAACTGTATTATTTTACAGTGACAGGGGGGAAAGCAGACTTTTAAGCATGATTATTAGTCTACTAAACCTTATATCCGTTTAAAATAAAACCAGGGAAAGGAATTCTGAAAGTTTAAATATATTAAAACTGAATACATTTTTTTGAAAAGTGATTTAAATCACTGATTTTTATTTTTAAAATCAAATTGATTTTAAAAAAATTTTAATCAACTGATTTAAATCAACCCAGCTCTGATTTCAATTATGGAAAAAAAAAGTAAATTGAATACTGTATTATTTTACAGTGAAAGGGGGGAAATCAGACTTTTAAACATGATTATATTAGTCTACTGAACCTTATATCTGTTTTATGAAACCAAGGAAAGGAAGTCTGAATGTTGAAATGTGTAAAAACCGAATAAAAATTTTAAAAAATTTTAAGTGATTTAAATCACTGATTTTTATTTTTAAAATCAAGTTGATTTAAATTTTAAAAATCAACTGATTTAAATCAACCCAACCCTGCCGGGAACAAAGTCACGAAGTATACAGACCCGGTACGGGAAATCTTTTGTGATTTCGGAAAGTTTCAGCGCCTTCTTGGCTCAGGGTAGATCTAGATCTAGGTTCTTCTTGATCTATGGCCAAGGTCTAGATCGACAGACAGACATAAATCATAGATCTAGTTTCAAGGCTTAGATCTAAATGAAGATTGCGAATGTCTTTTCGATGAACCATCGGTTTTCCTCCGTTCTGAAGTCGGAGGAATCAATAGACAATTTGAAGAAAAGAACATCATAATTTTAATCGAGCAGTCACCCACTCTATTTCTCTGTCTCTCTCCCCTCTTTTTTGCCTGCCTCTCTCTATGTATCGCTCGTCTTCTCTTTCTCTTTGTTAATGTTTGTCTGTCTTTCTTTCTCCCCCACCTACTTTCCCACTCTATCTTTCTCTCATTCCCTCTTGTCGACTGAGGCATGTGATATACAGTGGAAACCTGATATAACAGGGATGGTGGGAGTAGAGAAAAAGTCCTGTTATATCCAATCCCTGTTAAATCAGAAATGCAAGGAAAGTAAGCATTTGTGGACAGGACTAATCCAGATGTACTTATTCATGGGTAGTTTCCCTTGCAACAAGTACCCACGAACAGGGGTTTTGGCACCAAATTTCTCCTTGCCTCCTTATACCACATCAGAAGAGCTTGGTCCACAGCATCGGGTAGTCTCATCATCTTTCGATCCAGAGCAAAGTTTCCATTGGAGTATGCTGCCACTATCTTCTCTCTATCCTTCATAATGGGGTGAATCGACCCTTGTGGAATGTCGAAATGATGACAAATCTCTGCCAGTGGAGCTTGTTTTTAGTCAACAGCCTGGGTTATTTCGTATATTTTGTCAATTGAAAGGCATTTCTCTTGCGCTTGACATCGTTGGGGGCCATAAATGAAAGAAGTAGGCTTAGATCTACATATCTCTCTCTCTCTCTCTCTCTCTCTCTCTCTCTCTCTTTTTTATTTTTTACACATTGTTAAAGAGCCTTTGTCCCTGTAATAACCGGTTGGGCTCCGATGAGGCCCTGTTATTGCCGATAACTTTTAATAGAGACAAAGAGTAGGAAAAAAACGGGGATTTCGAAAATCTCTGTTAATACCGGATCCCTGTTATTACCGGGCCTGTTATATATGGTTTCCACTGTACTTGCTAGTCTCTCTCTCTCTCTCTCTCTCTCTCTCTCTCACACACACACACACACACATACACACACACAGACACTATACCGGATCTGGGTGCTGATACTTTCCAAAATCACAAAACATTTCCCCTACCGGGTCTGTATACTTCGTGACTTTGTTCCCGGTTACCGGGTCTGTATACACTTCGATGCCGTTTCCGCTGTTCTTTTCCAAAACAAAGCAGGAGACCGGGGGTAGCGCACCCAAACGGACACGCAGTGAACCGGACTAACTCTTGATTAGTACTCACTAGATCTAGATCTATAGTCTGTCTAAAGAACCTGACTTAGCCGCTGGCCTAGCCAAGACTAAATTATTTTTTGGAAGCGGCTATCCTCACCCGGGGTGAGAATAAAAATACGATCGACCTCTCATCCCGGGTGAGATTAGCCAGCGTTGGCTATTCTCACCCAGTGTGAAACAAGACCTGTTTTTCCTAATTTCCGAATACTGTCTATCGGTGTGGATGATCAAATTGACAAAAGCAAAGAAAAAATGACGTCATAGCAAAGTAAGCTAATTTGATCGTCTACAAAGATGCTATGGCTATTTCACTTTTCCAATCGAGCCGAACTACGCAGGTCGCCATTTTGTTTTGTCCGGAAGTTCTCACAAGATCTACTCCTCCCACCCCTCTCTCTCTCTCTGTCTCTTTCTGAATACTGTCTATCGGTGTGGACGATCAAATTGACCAAAACAAAGTTAAAAAATAGTGTTAAAACACAAAAGTAAATTAATTTGTTTGTCTGCAAAGATGCTACGGCCTTTTAACTTTTTGAATCGAGCCGAACTACGCGGGTCGCCATTTTGTTTTGCCCAGAAGTTCTGGCGCTACTCCTCGCTCTCTCTTTCTCTCTCGCTCTCTCTCCACTGCCCACAGACAAAATTGCACGCTTTTAGGCTAACAGTATTAACTCTAGTCCTGCGGGGTTAACCGGAAGAGGGCTCTTATCGATCGATGACCCACTTACGTCGCCTGCGGGCTTGTGCCGCGGGGCGCCGGGGTCAGGCACTGGTCATGCGAGCGTGCCGCAGCAGGTCAGGGAAACACCTCATCTTTTTTATAGCAAACTGATACGATCAATGAATAAGTGTTACTATCACACGAATAATCCCATTATCCCCTCGTCGGTAGATCAGAGACGCTCAGATTGGAAGTTACACCAAATCGAATACCTTTTCCATAGTTTTCCAGATTTCACACCTATTATGAAAGAACTTGCGAACAGCAGCTTAAATCAGCTATCGTTCGAAAGGGGATAAAAATGGGATAATTTCCGGAATATTTTTTTTATTCAGTTGCTCTCAAATGTCTCCCTCTGGTAGGACAATGGTACAAAAACCACCAAATATGATTATTTACATCAGGAAACAACGTTTGGTGTTAGAATTAGATCGTTTGAAAAGTGAGGAAAGGTGTTTGCATTGAAAGATGAAAGTCCTATTTCCTGAATATCCTTTCGAGTCCCTCAAGTGTCTAACTGGGTCAAAATGCTCATATTTCATTGGATGAACGTCTCAACCGACGTTCAGTTATCTCTACCAACGCCTCGCGTTGCAAAACAATGCAGTAAGTTTCAGATGGACACTCAGGCACAAGCAGATTGACGCACACACATTTTAGCACACAGATGCAGACCCCGCCGTAAACGAAATGCGTTGCCCGCGTGGGACGACGACTGAGCAGGGACCAGCTGTGGAGCGCCGCGCGGGATTGCGCTTATCGGGCAAACATTTATCAGGGACCAGAATCTTAAGGGTTAACACAAGAGCGCTGGAACGTTTGTTCACTGCACAGAATTCTACAATTTTGTTATCACAGTGTAGAATTATGTGGTTCAGGGTGAACGCTACACTGGTTGGCCTAGGCTATAACGGTGAACACACACCTGGTGAGAATAGACAAAATGCTGGTGCTTTTTCCAATTTTCAGTAGTTCCCACCCCCCTTATTTGAGCCTAGATCTAGATTCTAGATCTAGATCTCCATCTACATCAAGATCTAGATCTAGATATATATGTTTGATGCGAGGCGAGCTAAAATATCAAACCTAACAACTGCAAAACATAAATTATGATAAATTTTATGGTAAAATTCAGGGGGGCATGCCCTGAAACCCCCCACCTTACTAAACTTACTTTTGTTAGGTCAGGGGGGTAAGCCCCATTAGGGGCCAAAACCAGCGAATAACAATTGTAGGGTGGGACTTATCTAGATCTATCGAAAAAGCACCGAAAGGCTTGCCTGCGCTATTCTCACGTGGGGTGAGAATGGTAATAGAGGGGGCCTTTTATTTTATTTTTTATGTTAATTGTAGCAGAAAAAATAACAAAAATCAATGCAAGCAAGTATTGCAATCCATTGCAATCACTGCATCAATCACCGTTATGTCACAAACTAAACTGGTTTTGTTGTCCAGACCCGGCTCTTTAGAGGGATATATGACAAAGCGAAATTAGATCAAGATAGACTCCTGCAGTTTGCATTCACTTCATTGACCGTGCCGTGCCGTGGGGCCGTGGGCCGTGGTGGTGAATGAACACTGTGCGTGAAATTAAGGGTGGGGCATAACTAAAAAAAGAGCAGCCTGCAAAGCAAACAATCATATTCCAAGATCATATATCTTTTTAAATCTTACGCATAAAAAGAAAACCAATAAAGTACATACCTATGCTTTCACTTTCAGTTGCAATTTTCAATAGGATGCGGGCGACTGTTCTCGAACTCCAATTCTGTTACAAACGTGTTGTATTCTCATTTGTTGGAGGGAGCGTTTGCTCTAAGCGGAAGTCAGTGGAGATTCTAGAAAAGTAGGCCGGAACGGCGAATATTTCCTGAGATCGAAACAAATTTTGCTGAACAAGTGGTTGTTAAAACGAAGGGAAAATGTCCTGCCACTGTTGACAACTAGATCTAGGCCTACAATTACATTATGCATTATTATTGAACAGTGATATTTAATGAAAACCTCCAAAAATACCTCTCTAAATAAAGTGCATTGCACTCCACGATTATATTACAAGCTTACAGCAGAATTTAACACGATACAAAGCTTTGAATCTGTGTTGCTCTCAGATAATGTAACACGTAATTGCATGGGTCTTTCACTCTCACTCTGTTCTTTTTCTGTTTGTCTGTCTGTCTATGCCTACATGCTTGTATTTCTC